TTTACTCACAGTTTCTCTGATTATCAAACATTTTGAGTATGGATTTACTCACGGTTCTCTAAGTACCAAACATTTTCAGTATGGATTTACTCATAGTTTCTCTGATTACCAAACATTTTGTGGATGAATTTACTCACAGTTTCTCTGAATACTAAACATTTTGAGAATGGATTTACTCATGGTTTCACTGATTACCAAACATTTTAAGTACGGATTTACTTATGATTTCCCTGTCTATCAAATATTTTAAGTATGAATTTGCTTACAATTTCTCTTTTATCAAACATGGTTCAAACTACAAAAAGAATACTTTTTAGTCTTTTAAAGTATCATTACTGCGGTTAGCAGAAAACCTGTAAACTCTCACCAACCTTGTGTTGACCCTCAAAATTTCATGTATTCTTAGGGTATCACCAAACGAGCTTTCAGTCAGAAGATTAGTCATGGATTTCAGGCGACCTAGTTTATCTATTTTTTGTTAAATCGGCCTATCTGTTAAGGCAACTTTATGAAATTATTATTATGAACTTTGTATTCAAGTCTTAAAGTGTAATGTAACTGCTATGTTGTTATTTTTGTGACTTGTGATGTATATTCAATTTGCTTGTGATCCATGAATTAAGTCGCACAGCCCGACGTATTCCGCCGCCTCAGCCGGGGGTGTGACATTTTCTTATAAAAGTAGTTTGTAAGTCTCATTTCAAAAACCGTGTATAGTTGCATGCATGTCATTCGTTATCCTTGGTTTGTGTTAGCAAGAATGTATTCCCAGAAAATCCTATATTTTCTGTCATGTGAAAAGTTGTGGTCTTAAAACCCTAAGACCGAAGTTGTGAAATCAGTTTACAAAATTTACGAAACCTAGTTCGAAATTTTATAAAACTAACAGGGTGTATATCCTGTCCTTGTAAGGTAAGAATATATATCGTTACAGAAAAATGCAGTATTTTCCTTAAAGATGAACAATAGTCTTAAACTCTAAGACCCTGATGGAAGTGAATGTCGTACAGAAAATAGTTTATAGTTTCATTTATTTCAATAAAACTAATGAAGTATAAGCTTCTCATAAACAAAAAATCGTTTTGCTTATCCCTATATGAGTCGTTATAACCATACTAATATCACTGATATGCCTGGCTTGCCGTTTTATAGGCGTCAGTTTCTTCGAAAGATATTTGTCACCCTAGACTGGCCTAGTCTAACTGTAGCGAACAGCGCAGGTGTGGGGTGTCAACCCCGTATAGATCTATACACAAACTCCCGTTCTCCCTCCAGGAGAATCTGATTATAACTAACAGGACTTACCACGTACGCTAGGTAGGTACGACTAAATGCGTCTCACAAGAGCCTCAACAGATTTACGTGAACTATGACTCATTTTCTTGTAAAAACAGGATAGTTGTACTTTTAAATGATTAAAAATGTCTTTGAAAACGTAGTTCGTGGTTTCCAAACTATATTGATTATAGTTTATCTTGTTGGTTTGAAATGATTTATATACCCTTTTATATAAATGTACAGGTGTGTTCCAGCATGAAAATATGAAATCAAAACATATTACTTGGGTATTAAACCCACTAGATTTGTAAATGACTATAATGTATCAAAGCTTACTAGTCAAAACTATCTTTCAATAAAGTTTCCCAAAAGCATGTAGTTTATAGATCTTAACTTTTCATATGGTTTTATAACATTGGTCATGTTAGTTTTGCCGATAGATATATACATATCACCATATTTATATCAAAAACTAGAAAATACCATAACTTGTACAAATGCTAGTTTATCCTTAACACAAAGATGAAAACTTATAGTTATTTGTGGAATAAACAAAGTTTGAATTATATTCCCCCCCTCCCCCTCCCCTAAAACTTAGAAAAACTTGAAACTATGGGGGTATGAAGCTCACCTTGGTTTGGTTTGGTGGATGATTTGAAGAGATGTTGAGAAGTTTCCAAGTTCTAACACTTGAAGAGTTTGATAAACTCTTTGAACCTTAGAATATCCTAAGAATATTAACACATAGTTTTATGTGTAAATATGATGAAATAAACAAAATCATTTGTAGAATCACTAGCCAAAACTTGAAATACTTACAAGGATCTAGGGATAATACTTGAAGAATATTGAACTTGAAGATTCTAAGCTTGTTCTTGTGGTGGTATGAAATGTTTGTTAACTGAAGTGAAGGAGTATGAAATAATCAGAGAGTAAAATGGGGGATTTGGGGAGATCTAGTGAGGATGTTCTCGTTTAAATAAGGGAAGTAAGGTTGACGTGAAATTTACTTGGAGAACAGTTGGATAATTCATAAGGATCCGTGATTGCAAGAGAAAATGGTAAAATACTAACACATAGTTTTATAGAATATCCTAAGAATATTAACACATAGTTTTATGTGTAAATATGATGAAATAAACAAAATCATTTGTAGAATCACTAGCCAAAACTTGAAATACTTACAAGGATCTAGGGATAATACTTGAAGAATATTGAACTTGAAGATTCTAAGCTTGTTCTTGTGGTGGTATGAAATGTTTGTTAACTGAAGTGAAGGAGTATGAAATAATCAGAGAGTAAAATGGGGGATTTGGGGAGATCTAGTGAGGATGTTCTCGTTTAAATAAGGGAAGTAAGGTTGACGTGAAATTTACTTGGAGAACAGTTGGATAATTCATAAGGATCCGTGATTGCAAGAGAAAATGGTAAAATACAACTCATAAATCCGTAAACACTTTAAAATATCTAAGTGTTTACGCCCCAAGATGATCCCTAGGAAAGTGTTTACGCCCAAACATCACATCCCTAAGTAGTTTACGCCTCTAAAGTGGTCCACCAAGGTGTTTACGCCCTAAGATACTTCCTAGCATGGTGTTTACGCCCAAGATGCTTCCATTTGATGTGTTTACGCCCAAGGGGGTCCACTAAGGGGTGTTTACGCCCAAAGCATGGAGTCCCTAAGTAGTTTACGCCTCTAAGGTGGTCCACCAAGGAGTTTACGCCCTATGATCCTTCCTAGGATGGTGTTCACGGCCAAACATGGCCCAATGGAAAGGGTTTATGGTCTTAGATGGTATCCTTAAGTGTGTTTATGTTTTGGATGATTTTTATAAATGTGTATATGTTTCTAGTGTTTATAAAGTTCAAAATGATGGCCTTAAAGTTCAAGCATTCAGGGAGGCAACATAACACAAGTTCTTAAATCTATATCATGTGATTTTTAATCAAATCAATTTGTCTAGTTTTTGCCTTGATAAACTTGCTTACTTTCAAGAGATTACCTTGTATGTGGCTTCCAAAGTGTACACTTTCATATACATGCACTTGTGCTCTAATGGTTTTCAAGGTTTTCATTGGCATAGGGTTGCAATTTAGACCTTGCTTGATCCAAATATTTCGGGTTGTCACAATATTACTCATAATTCCTCCAATTTTTGCAGAAAAATCGTCCACAGTCTCTGATTCACTCATGTTCATCATCTCAAATTCGGCTTTGAGAGTTTGAACTTTGGCTGTTTTGACTCAATCTGCTCCCAAGTACATCGTCTTGAGTGTTTCCCAAGCTTCCTTTGTCGTTTGCTTCTCCGCAATCGTCAATAGAACCTCATCCGGAATTGCTTGGTAGACGGCATCCATTGCCATCTTGTCTCTCTTCACGCCCACCAGATTTTGTGGGTTCTTCGGCTCGATAGCTTTCCACACCTCTTGGGCTTGCATATAAATCTTCATCTTAATAGACCATGTTGCGTAATTCGTCTTAGACAACATTGGGTATTGGAGAGTAACCGATCATTCTTTGTTCGACATCGCACCAGATTCGCTCTGATACCAAATGTTGGTTTAAACTTCTTAAACAATGATGGGTTACCCTCTTTAATATGCTGTTATGAATCAGGAACAAAGCAGGAAGAAAGCAAAAAAAAAAAAAAAAAAAAAAAAAAAAAAAAGGAAAAGTGACAGGAAGATAAAACGTGCAGGAAAAATAAGAAGAAGCAAGGAGAAGAACTTTACTGCTTATTCTCAAGTTCATAAAAAAAAGCAAAAATACACCAATTTATAGGAAACCAAAAACATGACCTGCTACTTACTTTCCTAGACTTGTTGACCAAGTAAAACATCCTAATTTGACTCTATTACTACTTTTAATATTCTGAATTACACCTACAATGCTTTGTCTGGATCAAAATTCAACTTTTCAGGCAAAACAACAGAGCGACTAAGCAACGAAGAGGCTACAAGATGAAATTCATTTCATCAAGATTTCCAATAGGGTTCAAATGTAAGACAATTCTGTTAAACTACATATGTTGATGTTTTTCCATTTAATCATTTCCAAGATTCCTGTTGCATCGGGGGTGGGGTGAAACTCTTAGATTTGTAATAATTACTTATTATGTGAGTCCCGTGAGCAAACAAATTCTTCTTGGTAGTAATTAGGATGCATGAATTTGGGCTGGGAAAAAAGTAACTACCTATCTATACTGCTACAAAATTAACACCAACATAATTATATCAATAACAATTATTTTATTTTTCTTAAACAATTATTGATTATACATAAAAACCAACCAAAATCGTATCAATTTCAAAATTCAAATACAAAGTAAGACAATCACTAAAGAACATGGAGAGCACCTTGTATAATCTCTCCCGCCATGTTCTCGACATAAAAGGAAGGTAAGGGAAGGAAAAGACACGATTTTGTTTTTTTTTTTGCCTTTGTTCTCGAGTTGGATGGAAAGGAAAGCAAACAGAAGAAAAGTCAAGTTTACCCTCCTAATCATTCCAAAATTGGGCTGATGGTTTTGATGGGGAGAAATGTGAAATATAGCACCCCTAATTGCATAATTATTTCATTTTCTTCCCTAAAAAATCTCATGAGCGCATTTTTTTGGGTCTCCTTAGCAATCCTTTCCGTTCCATGCTTAAAAAACTCGTGAATAAGGTGTCCATCTCTGCATTTTTCTGTGGAACGCGTTGAAATATCTTTGGTTCTCCCTTTACAAATTACACCTTTTGTTCTTTTTTTCAAGGGGGAAATGAGCAGAGTCCCTGGTGTGGGTCCACCCATGTAAGTGGTGCATTGAAGTGCAAACTTGAGAAACGGTGTATAATGGAATTCTTTCATAGCGTTCATAGCGTTGCATGATTTTCAGATTCTTCAATAAAGAAAGGTTCCTCGGAAGATGACTTATAATTGTACCTCGTATATCTAACTCTTCTAAACATTCCAAGTGTCCTAGTTTCTCGGGCAATTCCTCAAGTTGATCACATTTAAGAAGGTACAACTTCCTGAGACTTTTCAACTTACAAATGCTACTAGGAACATCTCTTATCCTGCAATGTGATAGACTTAGTTTCTGCAAAGATTGTAATAGGCCAAGATCCTCGGGTAACTTCATAAGAGCTTTACAATCTTCAAGAAGTAGAGTTTTCAAATGTTTCAACTTACAAATGCTATCAGGGAGATGCTTGACACGTGTACCCTTTAATATTAGTATTTCTAAAGCTTCTAAATAGCCAAGATCCTCCGATAATTCTTCTATCACAGTATTTTGAATGTCAAGGCGTTTTAGGCATCGTAAACTATACATACTTTGTGGCAGACTCTTTAGTTTATTGCAAAAGCGGAGATCTAGAGAAACAAGTTTCTGAAGATTCCCAATTGATGAGGGTAGTTCTTCGATATAGTTCCCTGAAAAATAAAGCTCAAGCAAATTCCAGTTGGAGTGCTCCGGGAGTATATCTGGGAATTCCTTCAAATATAAATTACGTAGATCAAGAACCTGAAGTGATTCCAGCTGTTTGATGAATGAAAGAGATTTGATCCCCGAACAATTACATAAGCCTAAGTAGACAAGTTTTTTTAGACATCCAATAGGTGCACGAAGTTCTACCAAACGACAACAGCTTCCAAGGTTTAAACTCTCTAGATTTGGAAGTAAGCCACAATCAAGAGTCATCAATTTTAAAAATCTAAAGTCAAGGAATCTGAGGTTCTTAAGAACCTGTCATAAGCGAGAAAGAAAAACATGGTTAATATTGCCGTTATAACTAACCAATAGACGTATAGCAGTAAAAGAATCATGCAAAAAGAACTCTGTTTGATATAAACCATTTTGATCAGTAACCTGAAGTGATTCCAACTGTTTGATAAATGAAACAGAATCGAGTTTCCTGCAATGATTTAAGTCTAAGTGGACAAGCCTTCTTAGAGATCCATTCTACCTTTCTTTCTCCCTCTCCCCATAGTTGTTTAATTCTGCTTTTAGGCATTTCAAGTGCAACTAAATTACTTGCTTGAAATGTTTTAGGTAAATAGCAATGAGGGTAGTTTTGCCAACGTAGAAATCGTAATGCGTTTGAGAAACTTTGATCAACTTCAGACAAATTATCAAATGGACAAACCACGTCAAGAAGTCTAAGTTTCTTCATGTTTCCAAAACAGAGATTATCCTTGACAGGCCATGATAATATTCCAAGTGTTATAGCTCTTGTTGCTTCATTAACCTGTAATCCAAGAACAGTGTTCATGAAACTTCCACCATAAGTAATGAAATGGTGTTAGTTTTGTCAACTTTGTAAGAAATTAAACTTCATCCTTACCAAGTCATCACCCAATACTTCTTCAATTTCCTCTTGAATCCACAATCGGCTATGTTGAATAGGTTCATCAGGATTCGAACGACGAACAATATTCTGTCCCATTTCTTCTATATGGTCATGCATGCCTAACTTCTGATCAAGAGAAACAGTAATGAGAGACTTTTGCTCAAGAACTCTTAAGCCAATCCTAGCATGAAACCCACAACTTTCAAGTGCTCTAATTGCATTTTCTTTTAGCCAACCTTTCATTAAGCACGAAACATCTAGGAATATTTCCTTGTAATCATTCTCCAAGCTTGTATAGCTTAATTCCAATTTTAAATAGTTTCCTTCAATGGAATCGTTTTTAGTCTTTCTAGTGCGTCTTTCCATTCAAGCTCATCTTTACCACAAAGAAATGAACCCAAAACTCTGATCGTTAAGGGAAGACCAGCAGCATAATGTACAACTTCGAGTGTGAGATCTTTATATGCTGGAATTGGAAAATCTCTACCAAATGCATACTTACTGAAAAGGCACACTGCTTCCAAATCTGATAACAAATTGACTTTATGAATCCATTTCATTCGGTGTTCGAGCACTTGCTCATCTCTTGTTGTAATAATAACTCTACTTCCCTGTTTAAACCAGTTAAGCCCACCAGCAAATGCTTCCAGCTGCTCTAAGTGATCCACGTCATCTAGAACAAGAAGAACCTTTTTACCACACAACATCCTTTTCATTATCTTTTTCCCATCATGAATGCTCCCAACATCGAAACTCTTATCATTTAACACACTGGAAAGTACTCTTTCTTGCAACGATTGCAAACCAGAGAACGATGCATTTGTAACTTCTCTGATGTTCTCAACAAAGCATTTCCCTTCGAATTGGAAACTTATTTTGTCAAAAACTGCTCTTGCCAAAGCCGTCTTTCCACCACCTCCAATCCCGCATATACCTATCATACGAACATCTTCAAACACCCATTTCCAAAGATGAGACAATATCCTTTATCCGGCTCTCCATGCCTACTAAGTTGTCATCAATTTTCAAATTAATGTGACGTAATTCGAGTGAAATATCTTCAACTATTTTATTGATGAGTTTAGCTTCATGCCTGTAGAACAATGGTGGAGAGTTAATGACCTTTCCCACAGAGAAACAATTAGTTAAGACTATATGTAACAAACAAACATATGCCTGTTTCATTGTTCATCTCTGACCAGAGTGAAATTGGAGATGGGATTTTACAATACAACACAAGATGCCATGGATGACCTTTTTTGTACATAATACTAGAAATAAACCAAACAAAACATTGATGAAAGAATTACCCATCAGCAGTGTTCCTCAAATCCCACCCAGCTAGACATGCTGCGTCTTTCAGTGCCTCTCTCCACTTCCTGACCTCCTCTTTATTGTTATGTCTGGCAAAAGCTTCTCCAACAGGCCCAAGTTGTTTGCGGACTTCAGAGGGATCCACATCATAGAATACAGGGTAAGCAATCTGCTCAGTCACCCTTTGGCATTCCATGATCTTCGCAAGCTCATCCAAGCACCAAGATGAAGATGCATAGTTCTTAGAGAATACAATGATGTAGAATCTTGACTTTTCGATGGACTTCAAGAGCTCGTCGTTGATCCTTTTTCCTTTCTCAATTTTCTCATCATCCTTGAAAGTGCGAATACTTTGCCTTTCAAGAGCAACATAAAGATGATCAACGAAACTCTTACGGGTGTCTTCACCTCTAAAGCTCATGAATACATCATAGATATAGCTCTTCTGAATGGATGATGATGAAGAAGACGCCATTGAAGGTATGCTTGCAGATCCTATTGAATCAAATCTTTGTTAAAAGGATATTTTTATGAAAGACTGAACAGAAACTAGTGAAAAGAAACTAGGGATCATCTATATAGTCCTCGAGATGTGGATTCAGATATAAACTCAATGTAATATGTTTGGCTTGGAAAAGCTATTAGATTCCTCTTCCTCCTCACTCTAAACCATATTTTATTCATATGGAAAAATAGCTAAATAAACCGAATGCTTTTACATTTTATATTAAGATGCTCAAAATAGGCTGTATGCTTTTACATTTAATAATGTAGTCACGCACAAATATCTATTAATCATTTCTTGGTATGTGTACAATAATTATTATGAAGACACAAATTTAACCTTCCTCATCACAAAATAATGATACCTGTTCTCTCGATTCTTATTGCTGTTGGGTTATCTTGACATGGGTGAGTAATTTGGGTTATGGGTATGGTTAAAAGGTTAGTTTTTGGTATTGCTTTATTTACTATTAGGTGTAAAACCCGTGTATTATACGGGTTGATTAAAAAATATATATATTAAAATATAAATAATAAGTATTTTTTAAAATAAAATTTTGAAATAAAAAATGAAGAAACATATTAATTGTAATTTAGTATAATATTTATTACATTTGATACTTTACATATATAAGTATAAATATTATGTGACTTTTTAATTTTAAGAATTAGAAAAAACCATAAATTGACATGTGGATATTATTTATTGAAAAAATATGACAAAATGACAAGTGTCATAACTCATTAGAGATTGACATGTGACAAAATTATCTTCATTTATTATCGTAGATTGAATAAAGAAATTGGATAGAAGGGTTTGAGTGAGTAGTCATAAGAATAGGCACGTTAGAAAGATAAATGTTGGAATAGTTCAACCCTTTTACCTGTTTTTTAGCTTAGAGTAGTATTTTATTCTTTTCTTGTTTCTTCCCACGTGATGATGTATGGAAGGCTATATATAACCTTTATGTGATATGAATAAAATAAGAGTAGCAGTTTTTGAATACAAACAAAAGTGTCTCATCTGTTTTATTTTTTTTTCTCTTATTGTGTACAAAGCAAAGTTTGTTTCATTTTGTTATTTGTTCACAGGTTAAAGAAGGGGCTGAACCAACATTTGGTATCAGAGCCCTAAGATCGTGAGATCATCTGAAGAGGCTCTATGTTAACCAAAGGTTCTATCTTAACCAGAGAGTCCGGTGAAAACCGAAGCTCTGTGAGTCGAGTTCAAAACTAAGAATCTTTTTTCATAGAGTTTAAAGATCGATCTGTGTGAATTGAAAGAAAGGATGTATGTTGAGTCGAAGTTTCTGGGTGAACCAAGAAGACAAGCAACATGTGTGGTGAAGCTAATATATGTGGATAATCAAGTCAACATGAGGGGATAACCCGATCGCAAATCAATCTTGGAGAAGCGCATCTTCATCCTGGAACCGCATCTGATGATAACCCGATCACAATGACCATATTGAGTCCACGAACTCATAATGACCATATTGAGTCCGGAAAGCTGTCTTCTGCACATCTTCATCCCGAAACCACATCTGATGATAACCTGACCGCAAATCAATCTTGGAGAACCAAGATGCACCCTGAAGCTGGTCGAAAAGATCATCAATCCTTGGGAGGGGATAACGGTTCTTCACCGTTATCTTATTCAACTCCCAGTAGTCGATATACAACCGATGAGACCCGTCCTTCTTCTTCACAAATAGAATCGGGGCTCGCCAAGGCGAACTGCTCGGCCTGACAAATCCCTTTTCTAACAGCTCCTGCAACTGTGTAGATAACTCCTGCATCTCAGGAGGATCCAACCGATACGGTGCTTTGGCTATCGGAGCCACACCTAGAACCAAATCAATCCTAAACTCCACCTGCCTCTCCGGAGGTACCCCAGGAAAATCCTTCGGGAACACATCCGGATACTCCCGTACAATCGACACATCGTCCACGGTCGCCTTACCCTTATCTCGGGCATCCAAGACATAGGCAACAAAACCCGAACAACCTTGATGAAGATAGCATCTGGCCCTCGTTGCAGAACACATAATCGGCCCACGTTGCGGTCTCTCACGCTGAATCACCAACTCTCCCCTACACGGGTTCTGAACCCAAACCAACTGCTGCTTATAGTCGATCACTACCCTATTAAGTTCAACCAATCCATGCTCACGATAACCTTGTTCCCACGTAAAGGAATGGGAACCAGATCCACCAGATATTGCTCGCTGAATAACTGAAGAGTACACCCTCGATGAACCCTCGCAACCCGAATAGACCTGTCATCAGCAATCTCAACATCTATAGGACAATCCAGCTCCCCCAAAGCTCTAACAAATCTCTTGCCAAGCGCAAGAGATACAAATGATCGGGTAGCCCCGAATCAAATACACTAAAGCAGAGATACCGTTAACCAGGAACGATACTAAAAAAACACATAAACATAAGAAACAATTCAATATAAATAAAGAGATAAGGAGAAGATACATACCCGTCACCACATTGGGAGCTGCACGCGCCTCCTCTGCCGTCAACTGGAAAGCCTTGCTCTTCGCCGCAGGCGCATCTGCCCGACCCTGATGACCGTCAGTAATCCTCAATGTCGCAGGAGCAGGTGCTGATACCGGTCCTGCTGCAGCGAAACTCGGACATTGGGCCTTCTTATGGCCCCTCTGATTGCACTGAAAGCAAATCAGATCAGATACCGGGGTGATGGTGGTGGTAGCAGTACAATCCCTGCTGATATGACCAGTCCGGCCGCACTTGAAGCAGCCAGAACCACCCATCCTGCACGTTCCCTCGTGCGACCTTTAGCACTTGCCACAATAGCCTCGGCCCTGCTGGCCCTTCCCTATTGTATCAACTACATTGGGCCTCTTGCCCGAACCCTCAACACCGGACACATAATCTGGCTTCATCTTCTTCTCCATATCTAAGTCAATCGCCCTCTCTCTAGCTCTCGCTATCATGTCTTCCAACGTCCTACAGTTGGATCGGCTAACAAACTGCCGAATGTCACTCCTCAGTATCTCGTGGTACCAGGCCTTCTTCATCTCATCGTCTGCCACATACTACAGAACCAGAAGTGCCCTCTCCCTGAACATAGCAGTGATCTTATCCACCGTCTCAGTAGTCTGACGGAGATCCTGGAACTCTTACGCCAACTGCTGCACGTCAGTCACCGGTGAAAAATCGGATCGGAACCTAGTCGAGAAATCACTCCAGGTCATCGAATCAATAGCAGCATCATCTCCGATAGCACGCCTACCTCCTCCCACCAATCACGTGCCCTGTCCTTCAGGAGGCAGGAAGCTAGTCTGACCTTGTACCCCTAGGGACAATGGCTGGTACGGAAGGCTTTAGCAACATCTGCCAACCACCTGCTGCTCGCAATGGGATGCCTCACCCCATGATAATCTGGCGCTCCACATGCTCGAAACTGCCTGAAAGTCAGGGAGTGCGTCCCGACCAAAGCCACAATCTCAACGCGAAAGGTGCTCAACCGCTCATCAAGAAGCTCCATAATGCCCTCCTTGACCGAGCTAAAGATCACATGATTCTTATCAAGGATACTGCACTTAATCTCAGACGGGATGAACTCCCTCGTCTGGTCATCAAGTTGCCCGAATCCGGACCCTGAGCCTGAACCCTCCCCAACACCAAAACTGCCCACTGGCTTGCCTCACAAAACAACCATACTGAAAAAATAGACCACATAAACCATCAAAATACGCATCGAATATACACATCGGGGAAATCACAACTCCACAAGCTCCCTGGCTTCATTGCAACCCTCCTTAAATTGAGTATGGATCCTCTGCTTCCAGTAGTACGGGCCCATACTACCTTCCGCATCTACCCATACTTTCCTCAAGAAGTGCCTTCACTCAGCCAAGTTACTTTATATCCAACAATCTCCTCACAAATAGGGCTCCCAACACTAAATCTCATCCTAGGTTTTCCTAGGGATAACTCCACACCACTCTCTGCCATCAGCTACAGAAGGGGCTCCCGCTAACTTCCTCTAACTAGCTCACGAATACAATTACATATTACAAAAATTAGATAATCCTTTGAATGAGAGGTCTCACACTACAACAGTTGGACTCAAACAAGAGTTGTGCATGTAACACCCCGGATCCTGGATGTGAAACTTGGGAATTTTAATGCAATATAGGGCCTACTCGACGAGTTGGTCGGCCCCAACTCGACGAGTAGGAGCTGAGATGGCAGCGTGAGTTTTGTAACCAACTCGACGAGTTGGAGGGACCAACTCGACGAGTTGGAGCTATTTGAGGAAACCCGAAGTGTTGGGGTTTGTGTCCTATTTAAAGGACCTTAAGCCCTCATTTCCGCCACCCTTGTCACCTTAGAGCTCTGTGAGAAACCCTAGACCAGTTCCACTCGTTGTGTGTGTGTGAGAGAGAGAGAGAGGCTAAATTGAGTGTTTTTGTGTATCTTTGGAAGGAGATTTGGAGAGCATTGCCGATTTGATCGATGAGGGGATGTGGATCCAGTGTTCTTCGGTGATTAGCTTCTGTGTGGAGGTAAAAAGCTGCTATCTTGACCTTTCCTTTGTGAGATCTTAGTTTAGGGAGTTTTTACGGTTTTCTCCCATCCATCTTTTGTTATTGAGTCACTTGAGCATATCATGAGGTTGAAACCTCAGATCTAGACTATAGGAGGTCTTGT